GGGAAAGAGCTGTGGCTGTTAAAGTGGCATTCTTCTAGGGTGCTTCATGTCCAGATGCTTCTATGAAGTGTGTGGCTTGATAAGGAGAAGGGCAGTCTCCTGTGCTGTGTGCAATCTGCAGATCATTCACTCCTGATGACTTACGAAGCTCCATGTTCAGGAAATGCTGGTGGCCAGGCTCTTGTCTTCCTTCCCCCGTAGTAAGTTCCATAAGCGCGATCAGCCTTGGTGCCTAGCTGTTTAGAGAATAAAAACACTGAGATGCACAGGGGATATCCTGTCTGCATGATTAGGTTGTATATTGAAGAGAACTGCAAAGGAAATGATGTCCCTCTGTTAACGGGGTTAAATTGTTCCTATGTGTACAGAGGTGGCTTTCTTAGGAGTTGCAGGCATTTTCCTGTTGTAGAAGTTTTCAGAGATGCTTGTGGGCCTCTGTTCAGAAAGTTACAAAACACTATGTTATATTAGCGTCTCTGAATGTTCAGTTGGGTGGACCAACACTTCTAATTAAATCTCACAGTCTGGCTTTTTCAAATAATGCCTGTTTATCAAACTTATGTACAGCAAAAGGTTTAAAAAAATGAATGAACTGTCACCTGACTTTGATGTGGACTTGCACTTCACATTTCTTTATTGCTCTTCTCTCCCATTTGGAATCCTCCAGTGCAGGCGGACCCGAGTTGGGCAAAATGCTGCTTTGTTTCTTGATCTTGCTTTGAATGTGCAGGAACTGCTAGGAAGGGCAGAAAGACGTCTTGCAGATAGATTCAATCAGGTTGAAAGGGACCTTAGGAACACTCTCACCCATCCTCCTGTTCAAAGCAGGGTCCACTCTGAATTCACACCGAGCTGCTGAGGGATTTGTCCAGCCAGGTCTTGAAAACGGCTGAGAACAAAGATTCCTCTCTGGATGACCTGTTCCAGTGCTAAATCATCCTCATAGTGAAGAATTTTTTCCTTATAACTAGTCAGAACTTCTTGTTTCAGTTTATGCCTGTAATCTCTCATTTTCCTGTCGTATACTGCTGTAAAGAGCCTGGCTCCATCGTCTTAGTCACCAGTCTGTAGGTGCTGGGGAGGCTGCTCATAGGTTCTTCTTCAATCTGAAGAAACCTGTGTCCCTTAACCTCCTCTCCCAGAGCAGGTTCTCCAGCCTCTCACCATCCTGGTGCTTCTCCACTGAACTCGCTCCAGGTTATCAAAGTCTGTCTTGTATTCAGGTCCCCAGAGAGTCCCAAATGTGGTCCAACAAGTGCTAAGTAAAGGGGAGTAATCACTTCTCTCAATCTACTGGCTGTGCTCCTGTTGATACAGCCAATACATCCTATTGATGGTGTTAGTCTTCATTACTACCAGGGTACGCTGCTGGATCATGTTTCACCTGATGTCCACTGGAACTCCCACATCCTTTTCTGCAGAGATGTTGTCCAGCCAGTCAATCCCCCACCTGAACCATTGCAGGGGGTTAGTCCGTCATGGGTGCTAGACTTTGTATTTGTCCTCATTGAATTTCATGAGTTTCCTGTGGCCCATTCCTCCTGCCTGTCTAGTTTTCTCTGAATGGCAGCTCTACCCTCAAGCGTATCAACCGTTTCCCCAGTTTGCCCTCATCTACAACTTGAGGGGGGTGTGTGGTGTTCCAGCTCCTCCTCCTTAGCATTGGTAAAGATACTCAGTTGGATAGTTCTCATAGGCCTCTGTGGTACTTCACTTACAATGAGCCTCCAGGTTAGAATATAAACCGTTAACCACCGTCTTCAGACCCTGATGATCCAGGCAGTTTCCCCCCCTCCCCGGGGGGCCTGTGTTCTGCTACTTGCCTTCACTACTCTGCTGTTTCATGGTTGTTACAGCCAAGGCTGCCATTGATTATCATATCCCCAACCAGTTCTTCCTTCTTCCTGAGTAGCAGATCTGAGAGATGACACATGTAGTGTCTGTATGAAGAAGCTTACCCCAACATCTTCCAGAAACCTTTGCAAGGTCCCGGAGGTGACCCTGTTCGCGTCCTGTTTATCTTCCATGATGCTACGGAGTCCGTTCACCTCCTCCCACAGGAGGGGTCACCTCCTTTCACTGGTGACTCAGTGCCCCAACCAGAGTGTATCTCCCACTGGAGGCCAGTGTCACCCTGCAGTGGGTGGCAGCACCCTCCTTCTAGAGCTCTCTCTCGGTTGAGACGTCTGATTTCCCAGGGTATCTTCTCCAGTGGGTGCTGGGGATGGAGCCTTGTAGTGCCCCCGCCATGGTTGTGGCACAATCCCACATCGTCTGAAGCAGACGCCATGCAAACTGGGATACTAACTTCTAAAGTTTCCGTTTGCTGCATCCTGTAGAGGGTGAAAACAGTTACTAGAAGTGTTTAAAGAAAATACCAACACGATTACTTTAAACGCCTGTAAATTAGATGCTTAAACTGCCGTGACTATGTTGATTTTGTGAAACACGGATGTGAGTGGACCAGATTACTGAGTGACCTCTGTGTGTGATACTGGGAAGTTACCTTAACTGACAGTTACCTATTTTTGATAGATAGCATATTGTTTGCAGATTTATGTGAGTGATGTGTACCGTTGTCTCAGGATCTCTCTTTGAAGAATGAATTAGTATAATGCTGTTGTTTTTTTTAATTATGTCATAAATTACTTGGTTGTTGCCCTGAGGCATCTGTAGTCTGTACTGAAACACAGACAGGGAGTCCCTATAAAACTTTAGAGGATGATGCTGCTTCAGAGAGATCTGGTTTTGCTAGTAGTTTATTGTTTCTGAGGCTTTTTTCTTGTATCAGACCCACATGAGTGAATCCCCAGGAGGGGTGTGAATGGGTCATGTAGTACCTGGTGTGCAGTGGAGTGCTGAGGGCACTCAAAATGATTTGGGCAGCAAGGTAAAAAATAGGGAAATGAAAACAGGGAAAGTTGCAAGGTGCAATGTATAGGCTGACTAAAGGATTAGAGGAGCATGTGACTGAAGAGAAGAGAAAAGAATAAAGATACCTGGAGGTGGTCTATGTGCAGCTTTAAGGCAAAGGGAAGAAGTGGGTAACAAAATGACAGCGGTGATGTTCATGCAGTTTATGAGTCCAGACTTGTGTTTTGCTTCTAGCATTATGTGCACTTAAAAAAAGGCAATCTTAATGAGCTAAGTACGCTAGTGGGAGTTTAACTTGAATGCTAATGTTTTTGGCAAAGGACGCAACTCTTAAAGCTCTCTCTTGAATCTCTGTACAAGAAATGTAATTTTAACATCTCTTAATACTACGTAATTCTCAGGAGCCCTAATGTATCGCTTTTAGTAATAACTCATAAATTATATAAGATTCTCATTTAACTGCTCTTCAGCTGGAAATAATAATTTAGAAGAAGGGTGACTAGATATAGCAATTTATGAAAAAGGAAATGACAGGCTATTTGGTATAGCTGCTTATTTTCCATAGCTATTTTCTTATGCCTTTTATATAATATATAGTTTTGTATAATTAGTAAAATCAGGCTAAAAGCAATGTCATGCCAGCTTTAGTCTATTCTCTTCCAATTTTGTTGTTGTGAGAAATATTTTTGTTTGAGTTTATTAGGAATGCATTGTCATCAGTTCTCTACTGCAGCACACTGAACACTATCCAGCAGTTGCTACATAATTCAGATGTTTGCTTAAGTTTTTCCTGGCTTAGTCTTGATTTTATTTTATTTTAAATATTTTTTATATTCTGTATCTAATACTCTTTCTTATCTTAGCTTCGCTTAATATGTTAATTATTAGCAGTGTATTCATAATATCCTGGACACTGTCTACTATAGTGTCCAATTTGTTTTTGTTCTTGTAATAAAGTCTTTAGGTATGCTTGTTTGCATGTAAATAATTCTCACACATGATCAAAGAATGAAATCGGAAATTGACTTTTGTCTCGCTCAGGATTTTTGTCTTTGTTTTCTGGATCTGATCTTAGTTACATTTTGTGGGTTTAACTTCGGGGAAAAATTGGACTAAATACAGTCTGTTTAGACAGAACTATGTATTACACAAAACAATATATAAGCATATTTCATTATTTTGGAGGTAGTTCTTCAGTGACATTTTCTCCTTTATTTAATTTGTTCCTTCATAGTAATGAAATATTCTACTTTTCATTTATTTGCTTGCAGAACAAGTAGTTGTTCATCACGTATATAACATCATGTTTTAAGGAGATACAGGAGTCAGGAAAATACTGTTGCTGAAAAACAGAAATAGCTTTTGCTTTCTGCATGTTAAAAGGATAGTAAAAAGCCCATGTTAGGGTTTCATGGGGAATAATACTTAGTTTCCTGAACTGTGAATGTTTATAATCTAAGCCCTACTTGTTAATAAAGTTTCCTATATAATCTGCTACCATAGCTACAAGCAACTAGCTTACCAGATGAATACAAATTGGGAAAATAGTGTTGTAGAAGCCAAAAGTCACTTTCTGTTCTGTTACCACAATATAAATCTGTAGTAAATTTATTGTAGCCTGTGGAAGTTGGTCTGCATTTCCAGCACCATAATTCAAAAGCAGAATCTGTTCCCATATATTCATCAGATCCTAATACTCTAGCAAAGAAGTAAAATATGCAAATAAAAGTAACTTGGACAAGCTTCAGGTGAAACCAAGTAACTGCAAAAATGTAAAATGCTTGTGAT